CGGCTTCGAGAAAGTCTCGAATCCGCCGCATTGACACGAAAGCTTTGGCCAGTAGGGAGACCGAATACGGAAACATGATCAGATCGTCCCTGAGAGAATTGAAATATGCGATCGAAACCAGGACGATCGTTGGGGTTGAGGACGCCTTTCTTGTTCAAGAACATGTAGGCTCAATCGCCGCCGTCGAAACCTTCGGGAAGCAAGGTTGAGATCGTGAAACTGTGTCAATGACTCTCCAGATCGAAACGTGATTCGCGTGGGGGATTACTCACGAAAAACGGATAACAATTCCAAGTGAATCCGAATGCATTGCTAGCTCCGAGAAAAATGTACATCAGCCGGGATTCCTGGTCTCTGAGCTTGCGAATTTTTTGCATGAAAGAGTTCTCCCAAGCATACAATTTGATGACCTGCGAATTTCGGAGCGATGAATGTTTGCCGTCCTCCAGCGTTTGTGGATTCATGAGCTCTTCCACGTGACCCCCAAGGAGTTTACCTTGACATTGTTGAAAACCTCAGTCACCATCTCGATTCGCTGATCTTTCTTCTTCATGTGTTTCGTTTGCAGAGCGCTCTCGATTTTCGTCATGAGGACGATCACGGGCGTGAATGCCACGATCGCAAGCGCCCCAGCCAAGCAATATACCCCGAGGTATTGGTATATGAGGGCGAAGGTCAATACTACCTGGATAGAGAAGGTTTCTCAATCGGAAGGATTCTACAAACACGGAACGCTGAAAGTCCCATCCCGAATGTCTCGACTTCTTGTAACTCACCGATACGGGCGCTCCCCAGGCATAATTGGACTGAATCATAGCCCATTGGATGATGTCGACATCGATCGTTATCAAACTCACTATATCGCCGGTCGGATACTCTTTCGAAGACTTTGATGACAGTCTTAAACACTGATAGGAGAAAGGGATCTTACTTTTTCTGGAGCTAATCTCTTCGATAACGTGACTTAGGAGGAGGTCGAAATACAGCAGCTCCGGAGGAGCTCTTCTCTTGTCGAACCTTTTGGTATATTGCAGATGATAAGCCCGATTTGAGCTTGATGCCCACATTGAATAGGGTGCCGAAAGTGTGCGACCGCAAGATCGAGAATATTTGTTGGGATGCTAAGAGTACTCCCACGATGTAGAGACCTTCTGTCATTGGCGGGTTTTTCTTGTTCAAGAAATCATCCAGGCTCCTGGAATGCGGGATCGTTTCAATTCATCATGACGATCGGCGGGATACACGGGGATCGTTTCTGGTGTCTTACTCACCCAATGAGGAACGGTGGGACCAAAAACACGAACGAAGCGAGGAAATACAAGATGGCTGCGAAGAGTAAGTCAGCCCAAAAGGCTACAAATATAACGGAAAACATGCTGACGGACTTCTTCGTGCCTTCAGGGCGGATAAGGGTAGCGTCATCCGTCTCGGGAGTTTCTCTGAAACAAGGCAATGAGAAGGTTTCCCGAACGCGAATCCGAATTCCCGACCCGACGATGGGGTCACTGCCGAAATCTCGATAACGTTTCCTATAAGCTTGAAAGGACAGATACGCACTCATCGGCGTTTTGTGGTCTTTTTCTCGCATGTCTCTTGTTCCATAGACGCAGGATTCTAGCAGCCGTCTCTTTGGCTGTGAACAACGTGTGCAAAGGAAGGAGATCTTTCGCTTCGAGCTGATGCCTCGCGCCCCGGAGGACGACTCTGAAATTTACAGGACCGTTCCCCGTCAGTCTGCACTCGGGTTCCTATTAGGGCGATTCGGTTCCAGAGACAAACCGGGGGAATCCTGGTAGCATGCATTCGGCACGGATTGGCTCCCATAGGTTCTGAATATGGGAGAGTCGATTTGCGCTCTCTGCCTCAGCGATCAACTGTCAGGCAGATGATCAACTGTCACATGATACTCACCGAGTGAGAAATCCAAAGAACAGTCTGTCCCAGAGATTACTCTTCGTGGTTGTGTACCGGCAGTTTTTAGGATCATCGTCCTCGTCATAGGTACTCCCGACCTTGACAGCCAAGTCACTTGTGCACTCGTCAGTGTGCGAACCGTCTTCTGGAATATTTAGGGGAGAGTCGTAGGAGGATCCGACAGTAGATTAGCCGATTGGCATGGATTTTCTCCATTGGATTGTATGTATGATCAGAGCAGGCGCGCTGTTCCTCTCCAGCGGCGTGGAAGCTTCAGAGCCCCTTCTGGTCCCTCCCAGCGAAAGATAGCCAGCTGGGTGGGAGGATTCTGCGCGCTGCGTACGTGCACTCCCGGGCCGATCGAGTCCCCCCGCGAACTTGCGCGCCCTGGCGCCGCCACAGACAAGTCGGACCCCTCACCGACGGGCTGGAGGGAGAGGGCGAAAAAAAATCCAGTAGGATCGGGCTGAGAGAGCCTACAGACGGCGAATTCGAGAACTTGTCTCTGAGTGAGATTCGCTCATTGAATCTTCGAACCGGCTGGCTGGATGATTATTCCCCCGTGGACCATGACCTCAATCGAGCGTTTTAAACTATTCGTTCCTCTCCACGCTCCCGGAGGCGCTCATTTCCGGCAGACTTCTGTCGGGGGAATGCTGACCGTCGATCGCCTCGCTTCTCACCATGAGGAGCGGTTCCATCGGTCGGCAGTCGAAGCGGCGAGGTTCGGGACCCGAGCAGGCGCTTGGCGCTGGGACAAGATTCAGCCTGCCAAGGTGCTTCCGCGGAGTTTTCAAACACAAGCATTCCGGCCCAGACAGACAGCTACACGTGGATGACAAACCGCTCCGCCCCGATTCAAACAGGAGCTTGAGCTATTCCAAGGAAGATCCCGGCATCCTCTCACCATGATTGCGTGTGTGTTTAGCAGGAGAAGGCGGTTGATAGGGTTCTGTAAGCTAGCTCTTTCGTCCGCGGATCCTACGAACATCGAAACGGGAGATATTGGATCTCCTAAGAGCTCAGCAAACGTCCGGAGAGAGTCAAGACGGCTGGCCGTGGAATAAGCCGGCACTGTCGTTCGCCTCTCGTAAATAGCACAGTGGATACCGCAGTTATTGGCTTACCGAGTGTTTCGCCGACAGGCTCCGGCGATTTGTCCGCGTTGACGATCGCAGACGATGTGCTCATCGTCAGCTCTCTTCTCGGGCTCTGTCACCGCATTCACGAAAAATTTCACAATGCGGCTGAGCGGATTCTGGAATGAAGAATTCTGTTCCACAAACGAGACGAACCAAGCGCTGTCTCTGGACTGAATGCTCCGGCGCGTTCCGCCTCTCCTATTTGAGGGAGTCTCGAACACGGGATCATCCTTCTCGTCCGGGCAAGATCGCCATTTGCTCGTGGCTGATCCTAGCGTAACTGACCCTTTCCCCGTCCAGGCAATGCACACGGCATCGACGGGGGAAGTGTCATTATTACTCAAATGGGACTTAATGGGTCTGTCTTGACGGACCTTTGGCACCGATCTGCAAGAACTTGCCCGGTATGTCCTTCTGGGATCAGCCTACCATATAGGCTCGTGGTAAGCGCCTCCAATCGGCATCCACGAGACTGTTCAGAGTAGCCCCCTTCCACGCACCGAGCAAACCGATTGCCCCCCGAGTTCTTCAGTCTCCATGAGTCACACCAACGAGAAATGACGTCACAGACGATCGGTGCACGCGAACGGCTACCGCGCGCTCTTTTCATGTAGATTGGCAGGAGTTTTCATTTAAAAAAAACATTCCTCAGTGGACTTTGGCGGGTCAGTGCATTGTTTCCAAGGTATTCAACACATGAAGCTGATATTGTTTCTGCTGGTCCCTGACTGCGGCGATCAGTCATCATCATTCTCCAAGGGGCTTCACTTGTGGGAAAACTGCTGCTCTGACCCATTTGTCGCATCTTTTTTCTAGCGGCAGATCCCACACCATGATCGGGAGGGGCCCTTGTCCGAATTCCCCCCCGGGCCGAGAACTTCTCTCTGCGGCCCTGGTGAGACCTCAACTTGCGATCGCCTCGACTTACGGACGTTCCGTTCTGAATGAAACTGTCTCGAGTTGCGAACGTGGATCGGAGTAATGAACGCTTCAGTAAACTGAATATGACAAAATCATGTAAATCTCTTTATCGAAACCCGGCTTGCATAGAGAGCATTCCGATTGTGACAAACATGACCGCTCTGCTCGAAAGGAGTGTCCGAGTCAGCTAGTGCTCGGGCCACGAATTCGGTTACGACTTGCGAACGTCTCGACTCACGAACGACCCTCCGGGACGGATCAAGCTCGTAAGTCGAGGTTCCACTGTGCCTGCATATTTTGCCGGCACCAGGGATCGAACTCACGCCGCCTCCCGCGCGAGCGACGTCGTTGCTGACATCACCCACTTATTTTTCCGCGAGATTCAG